AAATAGAATTATTCTGGAATTTAGCACCACTGATATTTAAACCCAATTTCCAGCAAGGTCAAAACTAATAGCAAGTTATTTGTTTTACTAACTTAGGTTGCAAACGCCTTGGGCGGATCCTGTACCTTCTTCTATATCTCACTCAGCGCCAAGAACACTGCTAGCCATCAACAAAACCATAATAGAACTAGAGCCTTCTCCAAAGGCCAATGAAAACATACACACTGAGCTAATGGGGATATTTACAGGCAAATGATTCCGGTTTCCTTTCTGAAAATGCCACCAAGGTGGCCTTGCTAATTAGGTATTAGTGAATGACACTGACTGACTGGAATGATCCACCTGCCTTTGTGTGTGCACCAGGCATATTTTCTATGTTCTCAGCATGTACTTCTGTGTAAAATAGCTACTATTTTTGAACTTTTCAAAGGCTTTGTCTAAGATCTACCTTTTGAATTAACAGAAAATTGGGAATAATTTCAGGAAAATGGGAATATAGAATTTAACACTACAAAGAGTAAATGTATTCATTTGGAACTGTTCAGATATTCCTCTCCCACTCTTATTAACTTCCCTGTGGTGAAATCTAGAAAAACATTTTGTCCAGGGCAATCTTCAAATGCATAGTTTTCCCAGCATTCCCAATATAAAGATCTTTGAGATGGTCTAATTCAACCCTTTTATGTGTTTCTTAAAATAGTACAGTTTGATGGAGCTGGGCATTGTGAACATGGGGCACTAAAGTAGCTCAGACTCAAAGATGAACAGGTCTCTCTGTGGTGAAGAATGACTGACTTCAAGCAAGATTCTGTGAACCTAGCCCACATAAGACAAATGTTCGTGCTTGTGAAGCTCAACAGTAATTCATGGAGCTTCTATTTTAGGTCCTCAGAACACAAATGTTTTGTTCCACTCATACTCTTTCTCCAAAATACTAGCAGAAAATGATACAACTGCGAGTCATGGCCTTTATTCATCAAAAATAAATAAATAAAATTTCTTGGAAGAATCCAAATATACTATCCAAAACATACCAGAAAACTGGAATGCAATATGGTAGAGTAGAAAGAGAATGGACCCTGGATATGGATATAGCTGTCAATGTCAGTTCTATCTCATTTTTAAATGTTTATTTATTTACTTTTATCTACATGAAAGTCAGAGTGATAGCCAGGATGGAGCCAGGCCAAAGCCAGGAGCCCAGAACTTCATCAGTATCTTGATGTGGGTGGCAGGAGCCCAATTATTGGGCTGACATCTGCTGCCTCCTAGGGTATATTAGCAGGAAGCTGGATCAGAAGTGGAGAGGTCAGGACTCAAACTGCCACTCCAATGTGAACTCTGCCATCTTTTATTAGCTTTTTTTCCTTCTAAACCTCTCTCAGCTTCATTTTCTCATCTATAGATTTGGGACAAGTAATGACATTCTTTCAGAGCTCTTTCAATTGCAAGTGAAAAACTTGGCCAAATTTGATTAAGCCAAAAATAGTGGTAGGCATTTGGTATAGTGACTAACATACCACTGGGGATGCCTGCATCTCAGATCCAATTGCCTGGGTTTGCGTACTAACTGCACTCTTGATTCCAGTTTCCTGCTAATATGCACCAAGGGGAGCAGCAGTGATGGCTCCAGCAACTGGGGCCCATGTGGAAGATCCAGACTGAGTTCCCAACTCCCAGCCTTGGTTGTCATAGGCATTTAGGAAATGAACCAATAGATGGGAGATTAAGAGACCTGTGTGTGTGTGTGTGTGTGTGTGTGCCCATGTGCCCCTTAAGTAAACAAATGAATAAAATTTAAGCAAAAATAAATAAGTGAAAAACAACAGATATTTATGGACTCTTTATATGGCACAACTGAATTCAAATGCTCAATATTTCAGAAAGTAGTATCTTCCATCTTTCACTACCTTCTGAGATTCCTTAATTTTCAAGCATATCTTCCCATGATAGCAGCTCCTAGAACTAAAATGTAATATCCTCAGAACCAAGTTCAATAGAATAACACATCTCTTTGAATAAGTTCCAAATGGAGTTTGGGAACTGAACCTCATTTACTCTGACCAGTTTTATTCATAGACCTAAAGGCAGCAGAAGGAATGCCAAAGTGTATGCTGTTACCTAGATAAAGGTAAATAATTTTAGGCAAGGCAAAAATTAACCCATGTCCTCTACAATAATAATCCTCTTAGGGATATGTCAAAAATAAGCAAAGAAACAAAAATTATCCTTCAGCCTGTAATTTTCATTAGGACAAATAATAAGGTAATTTTTCTTGCTAGACAAAGCTTTTATATCCAAGAGATATTTTTCTGTATTGACCCCAGTTTGGAGCACATACTACATAAACTAGTGGAACCCCCATGACCTATACAATGTTGAGCCAAAACAATGAGAAGTAATTAGGTACGAGCAGCAAGGTGATAAGATTTTCATTGAATTAAAAGGAGGTGAGGCATTCAGCTAGGCAAAGAGGAACAGAGAGACCATTCAAAGTAGAGGCAATAAAACAAGCTGATAAACGTTTATTTTTCATCTAAATATGTGTATTGTCAGTAACATCAGCATTCTAACAAATAGAAAATGGCATATGATCAAGAGGATTTGTAAATATTGGTAGGAAGAATTTGTACAACTCCAGCAAAAATAACATTTACAGAATTAAGTTGTTTAAGATGTCATTAGCAAGGAAATATTTTAAATGGCTGATTCAACACAGTTCTTTGAAAAGCTACTCCTCTGTAACCCAGTCTGATTTCAATGGGCTGGCTGGGTGCAAACATAAATTTGGCAAATGTAATTTAGAGCTTTTCATTATAGGACACAATTAGCTTGCTCCAGTAAAAAGTGATAACTTATTGGTTTAAGTACGTTAATGAAAGCCTGGCCAGAATGGGAAGCAAAAACTTTAGAATGAGAAAATCGTATTAATATACATGATGTGGTTTCTACCTAGTGCCAAAATTAAAGTTATTTCCTGGATTTCAGATACAGGTCTATCCAACAATAACTTTATTTTTAGCATTTTGAAGGTAGACTTCAAATAAATTATGGAAAGCAAGACAGAAACATTTAATCAAATGTGAAAAGAGGCTTTTTAAACACAGTGGGAGTGCCAACCATAAATAATTTTTGTAAGAAGTACTAAGCCAGACTCACAATTCTTCCGGTAACACACCTACATCAGGCATCAAGAATCCTTATTTCTGGCTAGGATGAATTCAGATGAGTTATCCTATTCTCAAAAAGACAACTACAGAAGGCTCCCCTTCCTGCCAAAAACAGTATTCTCTCAAAATAGAAACCCTTCTCAGTTCTCCTTAACAGGTCTGTAATGATAATCTCAGGGAATTTACCAGTCTGGAGTGTTTTATTTCATGCAAATGGAATGTTTCCAAGGTTTGAAGAAATTTGCTCCATATTTCGGGAAATGAACTCTTGATTTTCTTTTACATATTATTTTAATAGAAGAAGCAATAGCTCTTTTCTACAAGATATTTGAGCTTCTGATTAAAACTTATTGTATGCTCTCAATAAAGTAAAAAGAAATAATTAAAATAAATGAACATGAAAAATTAAAATCTGGAGAAAAGGAGAGTTGATTAAGTCCCTGATAGCAAAACATTCAGTTCTAAAACAAACAAAAAAATCCAATGACTCATCCCACTGTTCTGTATTGGTGTGAAGTTGTGTCTAAATATGGACACACTGAGGAGTGTATATTCCAAGTACTCAGTTGGATGGTACAATGGCTACAAAGTGTCTCTGTTGCTTTGGGTGCTGGAGCTTTGTGATGTAAAGGGACCTATCTGATATCTTCCTCTAACCAAGAGCTTTGAAGTCAAATCGGAGTTGAAGATGTACCTAAATATATTAAGACTTTTGATTATAAGAAGAATGTGCATAGCTTTCTTGGTGATTTATTGTAGAAGATCAACTCATCCCTGGGGTCAGGTTCCATAGAAGGATTCCTAACCTCATCTCCAGAAAACAAAAGAGGCTCTGTGGATGGGGAAGATATAAGCTATGACATGAAAGAAAAGGGCAATAGAAAGGCAACTACTTTTTTGAGCAATACTGAATGTGCAAATGCAGAGTGAGCAGTGGGACCACAGCTCCTGAGGTGAACTGTAAGTGTTCAGAAGAGGGGAAAAACAGAGCACACAATGATTAAGTGGAGGGTAGGAGAAAGTTAGAAATGGAAGTACAGAAGTACAGACAAGGTCTTGTAAAACCTTGTTGCTTGTCATTAGGTTCTGAAACTTTATTCTAAGAGCAATGTGGAGGCATCTAAATCTTCAGAAAATCCTAGATATGAAATATATCCAAATAAATCTGATCATGTTTTTTAAACATCTTTCCCCCCTCTTGATCTAAGTCACTCTCAGCCTAGTATATTGCAATAGTTACCTAACTTGGCCTCCTGCTTTCCCTGTTCCTTTCAGGTCTTCTGGTCATCCCTACACTTGGACTTCGCTTTACTTTTTTCCATAGCACTTATCATCTGATATTCTTTTTTTTAAGATTTTATTTTTATTTATTTGAGAGGTAGAGTTACAGACAGTGAGAGGGAGAAAGAGAAAGGTCTTCCCTCCGTTGGTTCACTCCCCAATGGCCGCAATGGCCAGAGCTCTGCTGATCCGAAGCCAGGAGCCAGGCGCTTCTTCCTGGTCCCCCACGTGGGTACAGGGGACCAAGGACTTGGACCATCCTCCACTGCTTTCCCAGGCCACAGCAGAGAGCTGGATTGAAAGAGGAGCAGCCTGGACTAGAACTGGCACCACATAAGATGCCGGCGCTGCAGGCGGAGGATTAACCCACTGCTCCACAGCGCCGGCCCTTCATCTGATATTCTCAATTGACTTAGAAGTCCTTCATTTGTTGTCTTCACCATAAGGGCAGGAATAAACTGATTTTGCTCTCTGCTATATTATTTGCCTTTAAGAAGGTGTTTGACACAACACAGATATTCAGTAAAGTTTTGGACCTTGAGAACTTACTCGTCCTTTCTGTAGTCAAAATCCTCCTGTGGGTTTCCATATCGCTCTGATGACATTCCAGAATCTTTATGGCTCACAAGACCCTGCAGAATCTGGTCTTCCAGCAACCTCTGCTGTCATTTCCTGCCACTTCCTGATGTGCTTTCTCTGCTAGAGACACACTACCTTCTCCATCCTGACCACAGCATGCATGCTTTACCTCCAGGATCTTTGCATGTCCCATTTCTCTTCCCTGAAACACTATTGGATACATAATCCAATCCTATGCTTCCTTCAAATCTACTCAAATGTTCTGGCTGGTGTTGTGGCATAGCAGGTTAAGGTACCACTTGTGATACCAGCATTCTATATGAGCATGGGTTCGAGTCTCAGCTATCCACTTGTGATCCAGCTCCCTGCTAATGCACCTGGGCAATCAGCAGAAGATAGCCCAAGTACTTGGGCCCCTATAGTCACATGGGAGACCCTGATGGAGCTCCAAACTTCTGGCTTCAGCCTGGTCCAGCCTGGGCCACTGTAGCCATTTGGGGAGTGAACCAGTGAATGTAAGATCTCTCTCTCTCTCTCTCATTCCTCCACCCCATTTCTCCAATTCTCTCTAACTCTGCCTTTCAAATAAAAATAAATACATCTTTAAAATATGAACTCAAATGTCACCTACCCAGGGAGGCCTTTCTCCATCATCTTCATACAATAGCAAACTTTGACCATGATCTATGTTACCTTCTTCCCCTGTGCTGGCTTTTTTGTTAGTTTCCACAGTACCGAAAAAAAAAAATTTAAAGTAACACTAAAAAAATTGTGTATTTTTTCAATTTATATATTTATGTATTTATTTATTTTTACTTCATTTGAAAGACAGAGCTAAACAGAGAAAGAGACAGATAAAGTTAAATCTTCCATCTGTTGGTTTATGCCCCTAATGCCCTCAACAGCCAGACTGGACCATGGACCAAGCCAAAGTCTGGAATCTGGAACTCAATCCAGATCTCCCATGTGAGGGGCAGGGACCCAAGTATATGAGCAATCATTTACTGTCTGCCAACATGCATATTAGCAGGAAGCTGGATAAGAAGCAGAGTAGGTGCGTTTTGAGTCAGGGACATCAATATGGGAAGCAGACATTATACACAGTATCTTAACCACTATGTAAAACACCCAGCCCATATTATATATTTCCATGTATCATCCATCTGATCCTCAAAGATCAGCTCTATGAAGGAAAGGCCTTTATTTTGGTCATAACTGTTTCTAGTACTGGTACTTTCTAAATACCTTTTCCAGTGAGATGCCAACGAGGCTATCAGAAAGCACACTGGTTATCTTGAGAGGAAATTTAACATAACTAGTTATGAATTGATTAACTAGGTAAGTGAAAGGACACAAGGAGACCGTCTCAAAAATCTCGGAAGTAGCAACCATCAGAAACAACTGACCTCTTGTGCAGGAGGTTCAAGGAAAGCAGGATTAAGAAATCACAGAAAGCTAGAGGGGCACCCATGCAGAGCTGAAACTTGATCTTGGAGGAGGGGCTTTCTGCCAGGTTGTCTCTGACCTTGGAGGATAGCCTAGTAGGTTCGGGACTCAGGTCTTTGAAGAGCCAGCCGACAGGCTGAACTGGTGGAATAGGAATTGAGGAAACAGGTTCTGTTCATGTTGGAAGAATTCACTGCACACTGGATTCACCTGGGTGAAAGAGCATTGCTGGGGTGATAGTACTAAGAATGGAAAGAAAGGAAGCCCACAGCACCTGGGAGCTGGAGGATCCCTTCATCCTCTCTGACCTTTCTGACCTTCTCTATTGCCCTCTACTGGCAGAGCCTAGTATGGAACCCATTGGTCAAGCCAAAATTTGGTTTGTCCAGCCACAACCCCAGCAACACAAAGCTGAATATAGAAGGGTGAGTTTGAATCAGAGTCAGTAACTTAATAACTTGTACAATATTCATCAAATATTTGTTGAAAGAATTAAAATGCTTTGGAGTTTCTTCAAAAATAATTTACATTGCTTGAAAATTGAACATACGGCTAAAGAGAATAAAACCCAATAAAAACAAAATTTTGCAAAGGGCACAGAAGCAATTGAGACTTGTCTAGGGGCTAGGGTTAAGTACAATAATCAATTCCCATCACATGTAGTAAATAATATTCTGTTTCCTAACAGTTGAGTCAAAAATGGAAAAATGCCATGAATTAAAAATTAATTATGATAGTTAGTGCAGGTAGAGCAGCAGGGAAGCCTAAAGGTAAAGTTAACATATTTTTTCAGAACAGAGCTTTGATCTTTCCAACCATGAATGTTTGCTATAAACTCCACTGTTCAGCACTGGGCAACATGAAATAAAAATGTTTAAAAGTCTTGTGTATATTTTATCTCACAGCTATGTGTGTGTCTGTATGTGTGTATGTGTGTGTGTGTGCATACATCTGTGTGCCCAGCTGTTTGGTTTCATCTATAAAAGAACATCACTATCTAAACTACAAAGCATCTCATTTGAAGAACTAGATCCTGAGGAGCCACCAGGAGGAACTAAGAGAAAAATGCATTCTTGTATAATAGAGTAAGTCCACTTGGGTGCTAGGAGTGACTGAATCTCTGTGAAAGACATGAGCAATTGACTTGTTGCTTGAGGATGTTTAAGATTGAATATCTAAAAACACAATTATTTTTCTTTTGCAGTATTTCATGCTGAGTTTTTCTTTAAAGAAGTAAGATGCCAATAGACCTATGCTGTTCTCAAGTTCTTTCATAGACAATATGAAAAGGCCATCAGCCCAAATAAACACACTTGTACCTCTCTTTGTTGAAGCAAAAAACAAATTCAGTTCATTTCATACTTGTACTGTTACATTTTAAAATGCAGGTGCTAGAGGAGTCCACATCGTGGCATAGAGGGTAAAGTCACTGCCTGCAACACCAGTATCCCATATGGGCACCAATTGGAGTCCCAGTTGCTCCTCTACCAACTCAGTTTCCTGCTAACACATCTAATAAAGCAGCAGAGAATGGTCCAAGTGATTGAGCCCTTGCACCCAAGTGGGAGACCCAGAAGAAGCTCCTGGCTTCAGACTGGCCCAGCTCCAGCCTTTGCAGCCATTGGGGGAATGAACCAGTAGATGGATGGGTCGGTCGGTCGGTCGGTCTCTCTCTCTCTCTGTCCCTGCCTTTCAAATAAATCAATCTTTAAAAAAAGCAGGTGCTAGTATTTAGTCCTGTTTGATATCACTTAAAGGTGGGTTTTGTTTCATTATGAGAATGTTTCTGCTTACTCTAATTTTGACATATATAATAAATGAAAGATACAGTAATAGCTAAGTTGACTATCCAGATTGCATGAATTTTACTATTGGAAATTTTGGTTCAGGTCTGGTGTTAGGTGCAGTGGGTTAAGTTACCACCTTCTACACACGTTTCCCAATTCAAGCCCTGGCTGCCCTGCTTCCCATCTAATTCCCTACTAACGTAGTTAGGAAGGCAGCAGACAATAGCCAAGTACCTAGACTTCTGTTACCCACATAGGAGACCCAGATGGAGTTCTTTGATCCTGGCCCAACCTCAATCCTCATGGCCATTTGGGAAGTAAACCAACAGATGCAAGATCTCATTCTCTCCATGTACTTCCCTTTCTCTCTGTCACTCTTTCAAATAAATAATATAAACCTTGGTAAAAGTAATATGAAATTTTTGTCAGCAGAATCAAGTCAGATATGGAGTTATGAAGAAGTTGACACATGACCTTGAGATGTTCTTAACTTTAAGGCATATATGTCTCAGGCACTGGTGGTACTACCTGTACCAACACAGTTATTCTTTTAATCTCAAAAATAAGGATTGGGAAGGCAATGTTAAGAGAATGCAAAGATAAGCTATGGAGTAGGAGAAAATCATTGCAAAGGACACATTTAATACATAATGGTGGCCAGCGCTGCGCTCACTAGGCTAATCCTCCGCCTTGCGGTGCCAGCACACCGGGTTCTAGTCCCGGTCAGGGCGCCAGATTCTGTCCCGGTTGCCCCTCTTCCAGGCCAGCTCTCTGCTGTGGCCAGGGAGTGCAGTGGAGGATGGCCCAAGTGCTTGGGCCCTGCACCCACATGGGAGACCAGGAGAAGCACCTGGCTCCTGCCATGGGATCAGCGCAGTGCGCCGGCTGCAGCAACTTAAAGCAACTCAGTTAAAAACATAGGGCTGGAGTTGTGGTACAGTGGGTAAAGCCAATACTTGTAATGTCAGCAACTCTTATTGACACCTGCTCATGTCCCAGCTACTCTGATTCCAATCTAGTTCCCTTCAGATGGTCTGAGAAATGCAGCAGAGTAGGGCTGGGGTGTTTGGGCTCCTGCCATCTATGTGGGAAACCTGTTGAAGCTTCTGGCTCCTGGCTTCAGCCTGACCCTGTCTTGGTTTTACAGCCACTTGGGGAGTGAACAAGCAATAGAAGATTGATCTCTCTCTCTCTCTCTTTCCACTCCTTCCCTCTCTCCCTCTCTCTGTAACACTTTTAAATAAATAAGTAAATAAATATTTTTAAAAATCAGGTAAAGTCCTAAAGAAATACTTACAGAAGATGCACGGATGGTAAGTCAAAAATTAAAAAAAAACTATTCAGTATCATATGTCATTAGGGAATTTCAAATTACAGTAACAATCAATGATACTATACAACTATTATAATAGACAAATTTATAATACTGACTATACAAAATGCTGGCAAGGATGTGGCACAATAAGGACACTCATTCATTGATAGTAGGAATGCAAAATTGTCCAGCCTTCTTGGGAGAGAGTCTGGTAATTCCTCATAAAACTAAATATACTCTAACCCTATGTTCCAGCAATCATGCTACTGGGCATTCACTCGAACGAAAGGAAAACATGAGTCCACATACAAACCTGCACATGGATGTTTATAGCAATTTGGTTCTTAATCACCAACATTTAGAAGCAATCATTAAGAGAATGAGGAAGAGGATAACAAGGTGGAGAAGGAGAAAGAGGAATAGAAGGAAGGATAGTGTATGGAGGTACCTTTGGGATAGACAATCAGCAGTGTC